GAACCAAATTAAACTTGCCACTGGCGCGCCGGAAGCTGCTATAAAAGGTTGCAAATTGCATTTGACATTCGTTTAATGAGCAATGGAAGCTGTTGATAAGCAAAAATGCAGTCTGAGGTCGACTCTTGGTGCCGCAGCAAGTTTCCCGCTGCTGCACAGTGCCTGCTATCAGTTACGTCCCAGACCTTGGACTTGCGCTCATAATTAATTACAACCTCGTGTATATACATACATATATATGGCGGCAAGTGGCAGATAGCAAAGGACATGGCATAGGAGGTCCTTCACTTGGCTTTCTTCGTAACTTTTAGTAGCTGTCATTAGTCATTAGTCACTTTCTTGTTGTTGCTTAACTGTGCGATTTCTTCTTCTTCTTTTTGCACGAGATTTTTTCTTATTTTTCTGGAAGGACGTAATTTTGATTTCCTATTTTTATGTTCAGTTTGTCTGTTCCTTTAATTAAAAGTTGCGGTACATTTCTGCGGTTTAATATTTACCTGTCTGCATGTTTGTCTGTTTATTTTGCTATCCTGCACAATTTGGCATACCTGTTCGTGGTTATGCAACACAATTTGTGCGACGCACAAGTGCAGAGACTGTGCGGCTTTCTGTGTCTCGTGCATTTGAACTATGTCATGTGGCATGTGCTTGACACATAAGCCCGAGAGCTTTTCTATAAATAATAAAATAAGATTTCTTTTTCTCTTTGCTTTACTAAATATGTTTGATAGGTAGCTGACATTTGAGAGTAAAGGTTATGCTTGCTTGCAACGTTGAGATTGTTGATATAGAATATTTAATGCATTTTCTCATTAACTTTGTCTTCTTCTCTTTCTCAGTGAGCTTACTGTTGACTAAAACTAAGAACTTTTTAAATTTTTTATTCATTTCATAATAACATATATAGTTTACGTATTTTTCTATTTCTCTTTAAATTCCAAACAACTCTTAAAGCATCTCTCGCATATTCTGTGCGAAAAATCGACAGCTGATAGAATTTCTGTTACCTGTACTAAAAGCAGTTTTTATGCTGGCGCCAATTTTCCATTGTTACCTCTATAATTCTCTTCAATCACAGCTTTTTGCTGACTATTTTTCCCACGCTTCGCTGCGGTCTATAAATATGCATGCGCTGTAAACGAAACAAAAGAGATTTTAAATTTTACGAGAAGAATAAATGCGCGAAGCGGAATAAAATTTAATTATTATTTTAAAGTCGATGCCAAGAGTAATCCATATGATATAATCTTTAAAACTACATTTGAAATTAATTATATGAGAATTGAACTTAATTTGCAAGAATATTATTAAATCTGAAAAAGGTTTTGAACCATAATAAATTCAATGTAGAAATTTAAATTTTTTATGTTTTTTTGTCGTTGCACATGACGGAATAAATAGAAAATAAATAAAAGACAGCTGTGTAAATTCTTGACATTAATTAATTTTCTCCTAATCTCTGTTTTATTATTGCAGCTTCCCGCCAACTACGCCGTAAAGTGCCATACGCTGGCCATTTGATGACCCCGCGTCGCCTCTGGCTCAACAAAATACCCACACAATGCGATGTGGTCATTGAGTTTCCCGAGGATGCACCAGATGAGGCGCTGCGATGGCTGTTAGCCCGGATTCGCTCGCAGCCGCCAGCTGGTCTCGGTCTCTTGGTACAAGTTAAGGCCCACGACAGCTCCAGACGCAACGCGTTCTATGTGAGCGCGCCAGTTAATGTGTAAGTGGGCGAGAGAGTGGGCTATAAAATTAATTAAGAGAATACATGTACATATATAAGAGTGGGGTTTAGGAGAATTAGCTACGAGCACTTCCAGATGGAATATAATGATGTAAAGTGAAGTGTGGACTCTTATGTAGTTAAACTGGATGACAAATTGGAATAGAACCACGTTTAAAGGGAAGTCTTTGATTGATAACTAGATGCTAGGTATTCAGTCTAACAAGAGAGAGAGCTTTAACCTGAGGACTACGCAGAGCTGCTTTTTAAATAAATGCATAAATCGATTTATCGATAATAGTGACAATGATATTAGGCACACATAACATAAAATTATCGATTTTGATCGATAATAACTTTAGTGACTAATGAGATCAGATAGAAAGTCTCTGATAATTATTGTTAAAATTTTCTCAGTTAGTCCCTAGCAAGGTTTTATATGCTTTATGCTGTCCACCACGCCTTCTTCTGTGGGTTGCATACATTATCACAAAGTCTTTATATACTATAGCAGGTATTTATTTCTTTCTTTATGGCATCAAGACATTAAATATAACAAAAATCAATAGCTTTAACTGCATTAATTATCATCTTAAACATACAGAATTACTGAAAATTTGTCTGTTAGTTAAAATCAAATCAACTCTTCTGCCCCGCAGTCTCTTCAAAGCCGCCGAGGAGGCACGTTTACCGAAACGTTTGCGGCCCGATTTGGGCGGCGCGTTGCGTGAGTTTACGACGCGCGAGAGCCATTGCTTTCAGCAGCTGCGCGGCGATGTGGGCAGCACGGCGTTGTTTACCTCACAGGAGCGACAGTGGCTGGTGCTGCAGGTGTTGCAGGGCCTGCGTGCCGGCTGCAGCGACATCGATGCGCTGCAGGGACGCGCCGCTGTGGCCGAGGGCCAGAGCATTGTGGCCGCCTGGCAGGAATCGGGTCTGATCACACAGGTTTTTCCCCTGCACGAGCCACGCTCGCTGGCACAGCTGCAAACGCAATGGGTTAAGCAGATATTTGCCCCACAGCCATTGGGTAAGAGATCAAATGTCAACTTGGATCAGTTGATGCCTTAAACATATTCAAATATCGCTTCAGATGACATCGCCGCCTATTTTGGCGTTAAGGTCGCCCTGTACTTCGCCTGGCTGGGGCATTATACGTGCGCGCTGGGCGTGCCCGCTGTGTTTGGCACCATACTTTATTGCATACTGTGGGGCAAGGGCCAGACGGCGCAGGACATGGGCCATGTGCTGTTCTCGCTGTTCAATGTGGCCTGGGCCTCACTGTACTTGGAAGCCTGGAAACGTTACTCCGTCGAACTGGCTTTCCGCTGGGGCACGCTCTCAACGCCGCCCGAGCTGCTAGAGCCGCCGCGGCCGCTCTATAAAGTGAGTTTTGTCAAACTGACAATCGAGAAAGAGAGAGAGAGAGAGAGAATGAAATTGACTTCTATTTGATGTTTTCAGGGCCCGCTGGAGGAGAACAATGTGACGGGTCGATTGGAGCCAAGGGAGGCGCCCGCCTGGCAGCGTCGCGCCTTTCGCTATTTGGTCAGCTTTCCTGTGATTGGACTGTGCCTCTGTGTGGTCTTTGCTGTTATGTTTCTCATGTTGCGCTTCCAGGTGAGTGGAGCTGTGAATAATGTATAAACA